TACAGTTACTAGGATGTTTGAAATACATACTCGTACTAATCAAACTTATAAGCTTTAGTAAATTTATAATGCTTTGTTCCGCAAGTTATCTCTCTAAATATTAATATATTCTTTTTGTTCTTTTCTATATAAAGTTCATTCATAACTTCTGAACATTCCTCGAACGAATAGTATAATTTATTACTAACTTCATTAATTCTCCCATCCTCGTCGACAATTATAAAACCAAATTTTCCATCTCCTTTCCATATTTCATTGTTAACTTTAAAATAACGTAAAACAATAGGGAAATTATCAGGAATATCGAAAGAAAAATTATTTACTGCAGCAATACATGTATCCAAAGACTTGTACAAACGAGGAGAAACAGAATAATTTCTATCGCCGTCGTAAGTAATAATAAAACCATATGTCTCCATGATTGCAACTTTCAATCTCGGTATTAAAAATAAATTCTAATGTTCCTTAAAACTATATTTATATAAAAAAAACCAGCCAATCATATTTCTTCTATAAAATAATTCATAATCAAAATAAAAATTAGTTCATAAAGTGAATTAGAAAATATAATTAATTTTTAAAAACATTTTAATAATTAAACTTATTGTTAAAATAAAATTAATTTAATTTAAATTTAATAATTAATACAGCTTTATTGTTACAATAAAAGTAAGATTTGTGATCAAAAAATTACTTTTGTGATCTGAAATAATTTCATTCAACAAATTTTTATTTGCAATTTTAATTTATTCGATAGTAATTTACTCAAAAAATTAATTTTGTGATCAGCATGTGTCAAACCACTACTACTTATATATATAATACTATATTTCAAGTTTAAATATTTTTTATTCAATCTGTATAGTCTTATTAACTTATTAATACAGCGTCAATGATCATTTATTTTGTCTCAACAGAAGTGTTTTTTGAAAGTATTAGAAATATCTCTTACAAAACGTTCACTTTGAATACAAAAACAACAATTGCTTAGTCAAAAAATTTAACATTTTATTAAATCTAATATTGTAATTATTCATAATTATGTATTAAATTTAATGTACTTTTAGGTATAAAAAGCTGACACTCGCTACTTCCTAAGGAAAATTTTATTTACTCACAAAATTTAACATACACTTGATTCCAACGAAAGATGCATATTGTAACTAAAATAAATTGAGATGACTCATTTCCTATGCTTATTTTTCATTTCGAAACAAAAAACTAAAACTTAGAGGAAAAAACCATGAAACATTTTACTAGAAACTAAATTACATAACTACCATTGTGGGTGCAGTAGACACATACAAATCCTATAGACCTAAATCGTTGTTACATGCGAAACACGTCTGCCTACCAAAATGTTAGTCAGTAGATTTGTTAAGTTGCTGAATCGCATGTGCCATTAAAATGAGCTCAGCGGCTGATAAACGACATCGAAAATGTGTCACGGGTCTAGTTGTTATAGCCTCCTTCTACAATATTTGTATATATGACAGATGTAACCATTTCATTACTCGAATTTATAATTATCTACCCGAATTAATCCATATTAGAATTGATAGTAAATAAAACAGAGATTTTGAAGTGAACACATTTACCTGTAATTGAATTGCATATACAAAATAATCCTTTTATCGTCGTGTAACTTTATTACACCAGATAATAATATTAATATACTATGTGTATTTATATGTGTATATAAATAAAAATTTTCGACTTACATTTTGAAATTTGCTGGCATCATTTGCTATAAGATTTACCATTTGCCCAACATTCGATTTTTCAAGAGATGAAGGACTTAACCTCATTGCCTATATAAAAATTTATATATAATAAATAAATATTCTCAAAAATATGTTACGTTCAAATAACAAAGTAATTTTTAACAAAGTTGTTATACAAAGAAATGGAATAAAATTTTCTAACTTTTTCAACAAGTGTTACTATTACTTGAATTAATATTAAATTAAGTGTTTGGCATCTCAAATACACTACTTTTTTTTAAATTGTGAAAAACTGGCCATGACATTAAAAACTACACTTATATTGTCAATTTCTGTATTTTTCGTACTATCTAACAATATGAAATTTTTCTTGATTCAAATTAAAGAATTTTAATGTTTATTTTTTAAATTAAAAAAAAACACGAAAAGTAAACGTGTATCAATGTTCAAATGGCTGTAAATTAACTCGTTACCTAGATTTACGTAGGGTTTGAGTGAAATTTAAGAAAATGGTTTTAACTGTCAAAGTCAAAACAGGAAAGCTTTCTTTATTGTCTCCTGAGAAAATAATACACAAAACAGTACTAGGCATAAACAAGGCTAATAAACTGCTAAATGTTTTAGTACTCTATAAACAAAAACTCTTTGCTTTATTTTAACTCGGTCGAATAGAATTAATTGTTTAATTATACTCAGGAAAATGTTAAAACATTTGATAACCAATGAGTAAGAATAATTTCTATGATATTATTTTAATACTTTGTTGTAAGTTTGTTGCACAATTTAACACATTAGATATTTAAATTAAAAAGTACGTAATGATCAAATTATTACAAAAAAACCAACATCAAAACTTGTACACGATTTAATAGCTAAAACGTGTAGAACAGAAAATTTGGCGTATGGTAAAAATAAAAAATGCTTAAATTATGAGCATTATAAGTAAAAAATTCTTAATAAAATTGCTAAATACCGAATTTGGTAAATATACTGATTGGCACAACTACATAATAAACAAAAATATTAATTGTTGGAAAGCAGAATGTACTAAATGTTTTGTCATGATATCATCCTGAGAAAGCCATGTAACAAGACTACAGGCCGAAAATTCCGTTGTCACAAACAAAAGCAATATTAAGTTAGCGACATTAAAACATCAAATTCTGTAAATAATGAAAAATAGTTATTTTAATTTTTCTTGCAATAAGACACATATAGTGATATTGTTTTCAATTACTTTTGTGATCATCGTTAAATTGTAAATTTTACAAACTAATTCCAGCAGGTCAAATAAATAATAAACAATAGATTAATAAGATTATAATAAAGATGTTAATAAAGGTAAATGAAATATTGACATGTAAAAAAATGTTTCGAAAATTATATAAATAGCTATTTTTTTACATGAGACATTATATTTGGAAAATGCAAATAAATACTAAATTTTACATCTTTATATTTAATAACGTGGTACAGAAGTTGCAAAATGTAAGAATTTAAGTACATTTAAGCGTAATTTTATGTATATAATGAAGACAAATATGAAATAGAAAAACACTTTCGTGCATTTTTAATTTTTTATGTACTCTTTGGTTTTGTACAGAGCCAGCACAGAAGTCTGAAGGACTCATTTTGCTATTGTCATCGTTTCTTTGTATCCAACGACTACAGAACTAATTTTGCTACATTCAATTATTTATATGACTTGGCTGGATTTCTCTCGATGCAGTTAGGGCATAGAGGGAAATCCAAACAAGTCATATAAATAATTGCACGTGTGAACCGCCGGGATGGTGTAGGTCTCCCGATCCGGCAACACGTTGTTAAACCTTCTCACTGTCAGGATGGATTAAATGTTTCTTCTTCCCTATCCCGCGGTAACGGGATTTAATTGTTCGGATCGAGTGGAGGAGGGAGGAGTGCCGTCGGTAAGGTGACAGGCGATATATGAGTAAACGAGGACACCAACTTAACAAGATAACAACGATTAATTAGCTGATACAGTAGAGCGTCGATTTTCCGAATCAATTGGGGACTGGGGTTGTCCGGATAACTGATATTTCGGATAACTGTTTTACGTACCAAAAAATAGTTTAACGTATCCGATGTCGAAATTTTTATCCGTTGCGTTTCGCTTCGCGTTGAATTTTCGTCGATGTTAAGCCTAACAAAGACTATTGTATCGTTAAATATAATTTTTTTATTTTGTACAAACAAAATAAATATATTGAAAAATATAAAAACAATAAAAAATTATACTTCAGATGTTAATTTAGTATCAAAAACATAAAATATTTGAGTAGCCCAAGACGTAGCCAAAGATTGAAGCGCCACAGCACTGGCGAAAATTTAAATTTGCCGACTGGAATTCTTTCGGATGATTGGCGTTTCGGATAATTGACTTTCGGAAAATCGACGCTCTACTGTATATATATGATAAAATAACTATTGTCGAGGGAAAAATCTGAGTCCCTAAAACGCGAAGGGCCGAGAGAGAGTTCACAAAAATTTTGTTCCATACCTCTTTCTGATGGTAATCTTTTAAGGAAAAATTATGGTTCTCGTGGAGGAAAATATGATTAGACGTAATATTCATAGGATACAGTCTTCGTAGGACACAGTATTCGTAGGATATAATATTCGTAGGACACAATACTGAACCGACGGTGGATGAACGACTCCTCCGAGAGGGGGAAGCAAGTGGCTTTTATAGTTTCGTCGTGGGAGAATGGTCACGTGACCAATTGTTGTGAGATAAAAGGTACTCGGATGGGTCAAAGTTGTCCCCGGGCCCATGCTAACTATCAACTTTGAAGTTGGAATGTGGGATTATTTCCGAAATGGACGGATGTTTATTTTGAACGAAAGGAGAGATTGGAAATTTTCCCTTTTTTTCGTTTGATTTTTGTTTAGGTTTTAAAAGAAAATTTAATTGGCGGTTTAGGAAACTGCGGGATATTAATCAGAAAATTCGGTAAAAAATCCGGATTTCACACACGTACTGTACATAAATCGTCATAAGCGAGGCCATTTCTATGGCAGTAGCCCATCAATATTTTTATCATCATGTCACCTTTGCTTATTATAGTCCTTGACAGTGGCAGATCCTATTGAAATATTTATGCACTTAACATGAAAACAACACAAAAGTGAATTGAACATTTTGTATCCATGTTAATTAAATTTAATTCTATAATGCGAACATAAAACCCCGAATTACTGAAGTGTGTAAATTAATAACGAATCATAATTTTTTCTAGAAAACTTAAGCACATAGCAAATCTTTTATTTGAAAATATCTTTTTTTCTAAAGAATATAAATATAATAATATATTCATAATACATTATAATTGGTACTCACCTTTCTATATATAATTGTGCAAAAAGCTATCTTTAATTTCATTCCAATTAATTCTGTTATAGTAAAATTAGCATTATATAATATAAAATAAATCGCAATTATTCCAAAATATCCGGCAATGATTATGTAAATATTGTATGAATTCCATTCCGACCTATTGTCAAAATAATGTACTGTTAATCCTAAAAAGTATAATTCTCCTGCAATTACTGCCGTTTCCTGCAAATATACATAAATATTAGTTATTTAAATTATTTTAATACATGATTAACGTATAAGCAAAACAACTGTGAAGTACCTGAACCAATAAAAGTAAAATTAATGTTAAGAATTTCCATCCAAATAATCGTAATACAGCTTTCAGTATGTTTGGATTGCTCTTCTGTAGTTCTTCGTTCCACTCTCTGATTACAAAATTGCAATGAAACTTAAAACAATATTTCTAATGGATATTTTAATTCTTTTTAATTTATAAGTTATTAATAGCGCTTTTAATACTATTATTTTATTATGAAAATACTATAAGGGTTTATTAATCCGGCACCTGTTAATATGAAGTCTGTAAATTAATTAATAATCATTCATGCTAGTAATGTTCAAATCAAAATGTGTTTCTACATGTAGTGTGCAACGACCCCAAGAAACAATCAAAACCGATTTGCAAAGTAAGGCTGTGCGACGTTGCTACATGTCACAAGATGGATGTAATCTTAACTCAGCATAGTCATATATATATATATATATATATATATATAATTACACTTATACACTAGCAGATAAGCAAGGTGTTGCTCGGAACAAAAATAACAACACCAATGATTAAGATTAGAACTGCAAAGTAATAGAATAGATTATTTCGTACTTGTAATCCTTTTATTATATTACATTATAGTACTTGATTTATATAACTGCAAAGGTTATCTTATGTAAGGGTTTATCACACCGAGTGACCAATGTAAGACATTTTAAATATTCTTTACATTCTGTACAATAGAGAAATAAAAATATTTTTAAATGTGCTAGATTGGGTAATTTGTGTGATAATTCCTCACGTAAAATAACTTTTGTAGTTATATAAATCAAATACTATAATATAACAACCATTAGAACAAAAAGCACAAAAAAAATTGGTTATTTTAGTCTACAATTGTCGCGTTTATCTTGATACTTGTACAGTTCAAAATAGCACAATTTCATTGATCATATAAACACCAACTAAAAATACGATTCGCATATCATATTTTTCCCTAATGTTAACTCTAACAAACTCTCAAATATCAAATGGTATTCTGGCAAACAATCAAATTTCGCAAAAAACGGACCAAATATTTAACCTCGACACCCACAAAAACAACTTAAAATAGATTTTGTGCTCACTAGTAACATTGTAATACGTAATTTTCTTATTCGAATGCCACCACAATACTGGTCTGATAGAAAGAAACAATTTTTGCTGAAGGCGTTTCAAGTATTTCAACCAAAAGTAGTACTAGACCTTTTCCTTGAAGAAAGGATGGTCAACGACTAGTAATCAATACTGGTCTACTATTAATAGCGAGGTTGCGGCCGAAGTTTTCAACGCAACAACGTGACCATCAGACGTTCACGTTTTCACGTTTAAAACTCTGACCGCAACCTCTCTAATAGTTGAAAAGCGATCCGTGTTCAATGTACTGTGATTGCCTTGCATGTGATCGAAGTTGCTATCCATAATGTCTGAAAGATTTCATATCACTTGTTAAATTAAAAAAATCTTGTAAAAATTCCGGTATAATTGATTTATGTTTTTATTTTTGCAACAGATTGTATTGAGTTAAAATTTTAAAAAAATTGTAGTTTATAAATTCTGACTGTTATCCCCTAGTGTCTGTCTGTACTTCCTTAATTTCGAGAAACGAGTTAGGAAGATGAATGTTTTAACCAGGTGTAGAAAGCTCATGGTTAGGAGGCCCAAGTTAACTGTACAAACTTCTGATATAATCCAGTAGTCATGAAAAAACTTAGATAGATATTGACACGACACTATTCCTAACAGGGAAAGAATGCTGCTTATGCGCAAGACCACCAATAAAAGAATTGAGAACATTGTGACAAAAAGTTGCAGCCCAGCATTGTGACAATGTCACAATAAATAATCCCATGTTAGAATTAGTTTCTTTTACCGTGCCCAAACCCAAGACTAACCACCAGTGTTCAGTGGTTTTATCCACTCGGCTACTGGAGGAAACTTATTATAATTAAGAAAATATCGTTCAGAAACAAAATACACGAGTTGTTAGATGTGGAAAATTAAATACTTATAGGCTATTCACAGGCTTAAACGCTTTTGTTTCCATACAGCAAAGTGCTATATGTTACCTGTCTCTGTAACTGTTTAGCGCATCTATATCATTGACCACTAATTAAGTGAATAATATATATATTTTGAAATTATAAACCTTTTTTGTAAGAATTATATATCTTAAATTATGATCTGCCTATAATATTTAGCTTTTGTGTTATACTCTCATAGTATTTTGTATATTATTTTCTTATTCGCGTATTTATATGTATTTTGTTAACCTTTATAATTTTTATTTTATTTTTATTTTTATTTTATTTAGTTTATTTTTATTTATTTATTTAACTTTATATTTTTCATAAGTTACATAGTTAACTCTGTTAAAACTGTTAAAAGATGGCGCTACGTGTAAATCAACAAATCCAATGCAGATAGAAGTTAATTACAGTGACGTATCGTAGTGGGGGCGGCAGGAGCGGTCCGCCCCGAACGGCACTTTTTAGGGGGCGGAAAAATTACATTTTAGGGGGTGGCAAAATTTCAAAATAAATAATAATAATATTTTGTAAAAATTTGAATTATTTTACTTCACATTTCCGTCGCACCTACAATTCCGATCGATTGAAATGAGCATGGGGAATAGTGTTACTATCCAGACAGTCCGGAATTGACTCACCGTCTGGATGAACTATTAATTTTACCCGGCTATGCCGTGCGAAATCTGTTGACCTTTTTTTATGCTTGTATGATTCAATCGTATGCACATACACCTCCAATATCGAATACAGCTAAGACATACGTTACACCTACCCAAGTATCCTTAGTCGCTACCTGTAACTGATTTAGAACCGACATGCACTGCACATTTTTCTTCGCCTTGCAAAATGACATACGCACGCGTCAAGAACTTCTGTTCGAACAAACCTCACTTACTGTTTGGGTCAGCGATTTTAAAAAGGTGGCAACACTAGCACGGAATTTTTCATTACTTATTCTGTGACAAAACTGAATTTTAGTCTTTTAAATTGAGATACCTAAATAAGGGGGTGGCAAAATTTTCCTTTGCTCCAGGCGGCTGACACCCACGCTACGCCACTGGTTAAAATTTATAAAAATACATATAAAAAATATTATGATAGTATGATATTATCGAAATAAGTGGTGTATAAATAAAACTGCTGAGTTTCATAGCAATTAGTCTAACGATCAAAAAGTGTATATAGTGAGCAAACATCCCAACATTCTCATTTTTATATATAGATAAATAATATAATTTTCAGACTGATTAAATAGTGTAAGTAAATAAATCACAAGTATGAAATAACGTGTTCTCTTACAAAATGTACAGCATTATAGTCATTGCTAAGTAATGAACAAAAATTTTAACTGTAGAAAAATTGGAAGTGTAAATTTTTAATCATGCTATCATGGTGGAAAATAAAAGCAGCAACACAGCAGAGCAAAAACTCGCATTGTCAAAAATAAATGCATTGGCCCGTTGAAATGTAATTTAAATTGATTCAAACATTAAAAAACAGCAAACGATATGAGATATCGTAATATTGTATGTGTGGCATCTTAAAGATGCCATGCAAAGAACAATAGGTTAAAAGTAAAAAATCTATATATATAAAATTGCTTGTCCTGACTGACTGAATGACTCACTGATTCATCATCGCCCAGAGCAAACCGCTGGACCTAAAGAGCAGAAATTTGGTACACAGTTAGGGTACGTCATGAAAACGCACACTAAGAAGGGATTTTTCGAAATTCCCCCGCGGGGGGAGAGGGAGAGCATTAAGGCTTAACCGGAAAAACGGCTTCTACTTTACTATTTTACATGCGAGTTTTTGTTACGTTTAGTCTTCATTGAGTACTTAGGTGTATTAAATTGATAACATTTCAGACATTGTTATAAATATTTTTATCTATTTCGATTTTTTAACCAAATGTTTGAACCTTTTCAAATTCGAATTTGTTATTGCATATTGGTTCGATTATAGAACGATTGTAAACGTTCCAGAAAATTCATCAAATTGAAAATAGTTCGTTTGATTCTCGGCAATTTTTTTCAGCGGTAGGTGTTATATAGACCTAACAATTACTATGGTTATTGAAATATTAAATGTAAATGGGATTTGCTTGCAAAACCTTCGCGGACAAAGTCGCAGCTAGTTATGTGTAAATCTCTAAAATAGCTTATTTTACTTATTTTATTACGAAAATTAAAAATTACAACACGCACCACATCTGGAACATTTTATAATTTGATTCATTATTCGTAGAATTTTGGAGACAGCTTAATTTATAGTAGATTAATAAAGGTGGAACTAAGGTGATAATATGTTGTTATTACTCAACTCAACTATTCAGTAAATCCCAAGGAGTTTTCAGGGTGCCATCTGAATATATCAGGTTTTGTCCTACAGCACTGGTTGCATCAATTTTAGCCCAGCCTAAACCATAAGGAACATACAACAAACACTTTTTATCTATCCACACAGTAAAATCGGTTTTAGAAATTAGAATTTTAAAAACTCATTAACGAAACTCAGCACTTTTATTTATGTTTTGAATATAAATCTCATATATTGTAATCAGTTTTCAAAAAAGGAACATTATACATTATCCCCAGATCATAAAAGTCTTCTAGAACTTTATGGGTCTTAAGATACACGATCATATTTTTTTAAGTAGTGAAATACTAAAAATGTTTATTAATAAAACATGCAGTCTTAAACAATTTCGTTATATCTTAGCAAATTTCACATTAATTTATACACATAACTATTTCGCGCTTCTATATACTATAGATGTAGGAACTCATGTTGACAAAAAACCTACACATTGGCAAGTACTCGAAATTTGATGAATGTTTATAATCTACAGTAGAGCGTCGTTTATCCGAAATTCGGTTATCCGAAAGAATTTCAGTCGGCAAATTTAAATTTTCGCTAGTGCTATGGCGCTGCATTCTGTGGCTATATCTTGGGCATCTCCAATATTTTTTTATTGGTGTGTGTGTTTTAGCTGTCAGCACTGGCAATTTTGTGTGGTGTTTTTCTGAGGACTGTGTTTCGTGCTGAATCGAACGTTTTTGATACTAGATTTTTTTGTTTTTATATTTTTAAATATATTTATTTCGTTTGTAAAAAATAAAGGAATAATTTTTAACGATACAATAGCCACGATTATTATTTTAAAAAGTTTACGTTAGGCTTAACATCGACGAAAATTCAACGCGAAGCGACACACGACGAAGAAAAATTTGAACACGAAATAGGTTAATATATTTTTTCGTACATAATCTGTTATCCGAAAAATAAGTTATCCGAACAACCCCAGTCTCCAATTGATTCGGATAAACGACGCTCTACTGTATTATCGTCCGAAAAAACGATGTAATAAATTATTTAAAAATTTACACCGTCATTATTTTTTCAAAAAAAAAAAACAGAATAAAAGCAGTTATATAGGGGAGACCGGGGCAACTTCGGCATACGGGGCAAGTTTGTCAAGTGCTTTTTTTTTAAAAACAAATTAAAAGGAGACTTTGGTTATAAATTAGGCAGTTGAGTTTTATTGGTGGCTTGTTGAGTGTAGTGTTTTTACTGTTCTCCAACAAGCGTAGTTGAATTATCAAGCGAATTTTCATTTTCGTTCAATTCCATATAATATTTTGCTTCCATTTATATTGAATTGGCAGGTTTTGTTATAATTCCATAATAACGAAAGTTACTTTTCCTGTTAGAAGGATGTAACTTCAACTTATTCACGTGGCCAGATCATGGCTTGGCATTCTGTTCTCAGGGTTGTACTTAATGTTTCGAAATCATGACTAGCGGGGCAAGATCGGCAACATAAAGCCACATTAGAAGCAAAGGATAAAAATCAAACAGATGATAAATGAAAACATGTTTGCATTTGTTATTCATGTATATATGTCTTTGAACTTGCATTTCGTTGTAATAATATTAAATGAGTGTTGGATTTGTATTTCTTTGTTTTAATAGTGAATTCCAACTTATACATTGTTAATGACATAAATTTATATACCTGCCTTTCTTGCCTCATTACTATTGCCCCTATACCAGGGGCAACTTTAATAAAAATAATTAAAATAATTACAACTTTACAAAAAGAGAGAAGTTGCCGATCTTGCCCCTATACCCGGGCAACTTCGGCAATTTATCTCTTCTTGTAAAGTTTAATTATTTTAATTATTTTTATTTCCAAACTGATTTTAACCAGTTCTATAGTAAGGTAACATTCCAATAGACAACATGCAAAGCTTTTTTTCACTTTACAGCAGTATTTATTACACAAAATTTAAGTAAAGCTTAACATGCCGATCTTGCCCGGTCTCCCCTACTATTTATTTTAAAAAAATGTAAATCTAACAAACCTGTTTAACGGACAATTCAAATTGCTTAATACTTCAGCCAATTCATTTCATAACAATTAGCTTAATCACAAATGAATACCACAATACATAAGTTATCTATAATCACAGTTTCATTACACGTGATGAGAGTACTTGTGATTTAACAGAATAATATTCTCATTATCTCTTTCAGCTAATTTAGAGAAGTGGTCAGTTAAATCAGAATAAACGTTAGAAGATGTTTAACTTACTTCTGAAGCATATTTCCAAGATATTCTGAACCATGATATTTGGAGATTTCGTATAAATCTTCTTCTTTTAAACGGTGCTTTGTTCCTTTGATTATTATTGGAAAAAGCCAACTGGAAAATAAATAAATTATTTTTTATTGTTCCATGCAGTTATTTTTTTCTACAGATCTTTATTATCATTAAAATCTCATAAAAAAACAATAAATAATATTTATAAGTACACCAGCTGCAAGGACCCGCTTCGCTGGGTTTTTATTTGTGGGCAAAAAGTAACGATAGAGAAGATTGACATAATTACATTATAGCCAATCTTACCCGTTTTCACAGAATGCAAGAATTAGGTCCCCCCGTTTCCAGACTAATTAGAGACCTGGTCCCGATTCTATTTCTGAACGTCTCCTGTTCACGTCCAGTCAAACGAACTCTTTTCAACGTTTCTGAAACGTTTACAATCGTTCTATAATCGAACCAATATTCGAATTTTATCTTCGAATTCAAATTCGAACATAACATTCGAAATAAAAACCACTTTTATCCGCTTTCAGCCCCATATCTCCCGCACCCTTATAGCTATCGAGACGCAACCCCCATAGTGCACAAATGAAGACTTGTGGCAAACCACCACATACAAGCAGCATTCACATGCGATGTGTAGTTTTTGCGGAAAAATGAAATATATGGACACACACATCCATTTATATATATATACTAACTGCAAAGTCCCGATTCGCTGGGTTTGTATTTGTTCGTACATTTGTATGTAATATAGTTTTTTATATAGCCTATATAAAAGACTGTTTTTCTAAGTAATCTATAATCTAGCTTCAAGGACCCGCTTCGCTGGGTTTTTAAAAAGTAACGATAGTGAAGATTAAGATAATTACATTATAGCCAATCTTACCCATTTTCACAGAATGCAAGAATTAGGTCCCCCGTTTCCAGACTAATTAGAGACCTGGTCCTTATTCTATTTCTGAACGTCTCTTGTTCACGTCTAGTCAAACGAACTATTTTCAACGTTTCTGGAACGTTTACAATCGTTCTATAATTGAACCAATATTCGAATTTTATGTTAGAATTTAATTCGAACAAATTCGAACAAAACATTCGAAATAGAAAGCCACTTTTAACCACTTTCAAGCCCATATCTCCCGCACCCTTATAGCTATCGAGAGACAACTACCATAGTGCACGAATGGAGACATGGGGCGACTACCATATACAAACAATATTCACGTGCGATGTGTAGTTTTGTTGGAAAAGTGAAATATAGTAACATACATGTCCATTTATATATATATATATATATATATATATAAAACTACACATCGCACGTGAATGGTGTTTGTATGTGGT